CCCACTCCTGAAACCTCCTGATTTATCTCCTGGATTCAGACTGAGGCAGCCCACAAAAACATGACCCAGTCATTTTTTTTCACACTTTTCCTGCTGATAGGCCCTCCACAGTCCCAAATGTACACTATCACATGATTAAAAACTTGGTTTAGCATAATATGTCTCCTTTAGAATAACATTTCCACATTTCCTTTTTCCCCTTTTAATACATTTCTATTTCTCACTTCTTCAGATGGACTCAGACTTTTGCTTTAAAGGAGACATATTCTACCCTATTTCAACAAGTTAAGCTAGCTCCCTGGTGTCCTAATGTGATGTCTGTGACAAGCTTTGGTCAGAATCCCATAAGGATGAAGCCCTTAGTTCAGTCCCCCTGCCTAACCCTAACCCTAACCCTAACCCTAACCCTAACCCTAACCCAAAACAGCCCCGTTCAGAGCGCTCGCTTTGGACTGCCTGTCTCTTTAAATGCAAATGAGACACAGGCAATCCGCCCACTTCTTCAGGGAGGTGTGCCCACGTCGGCACGCTAACGCTACCATGCTAACGCTACCATGTTAACGCTACCATGCTAACGCTACCACGCTAACGTGGAAAGGCTGGAATATTATAATGAGCTAGAGCTAATGACGTCAGAAACTACCCACTCCTGAAACCTCCTGATTTATCTCCCGTATTGAGACAGTCATTTTTTTTCACACTCTGCCTGCTGATAGGCCCTCCACAGTCCCAAATGTACACAATCAAATTATAAAAACTTGGTTTAGCATAATATGTCCCCTTTAGAATAACATTTCCACCAGTGGGACGCACCGATGTGTCGGTTGGGCAGCTTTTTGAGCAGACACGGCTCCTCGTGTCCGGACGGCGCCCGGATGGTCGCCGCCAGGCTGCTCAGGTCCGTCTCCGTGATCTTTAGGGAGACGTCGGTTGCCGTGCCAACGTTGAGCTGAGACGTCATCATGGAGTCGTCACCTGGAGGGGGGGTAAACACGCAGGTTAAATAATAAATAATAAACTGGAAACCAGCAACAGAACTAGTTTGTGCTCCATCAGCCTCCTGTCAGGACTCTTTCTAACACTTTGGGAGCATCTTTTCAAGGGAATCCCAGAGCTAAGATGAGCTAAACTAAACTAAACTGAGCTAAGATGAGCTAAACTAAACTAAACTGAGCTAAGATGAGCTAAACTAAACTAAACTGAGCTAAGATGAGCTAAACTAAACTAAACTGAGCTACGCTTAACTGAGCAAAACAGACTAAGCTGAGCTAAACTAAACTGAGCTAAATTAAACTGAGCTAAGATAAACTGAGCTAAACGGACTAAGCTGAGCTACACTAAACTGAGCTAAGATTAGATAAACTGAGCTAAGCTAATCTGAGCTAAATTAAACTGAGCTAAAATGAGCTAAACTGAGCTAAACTAATCTTAGTTAAACTAAACTGAGCTAAGCTGAGCTAAAATGAGCTAAAATGAGAAAAACTAAACTAAACTGAGCTAAGATGCGCTAAATTGAGCTAAACTGAGTTAAACTAAACTAAACTGAGCTAAGCTGAGGTAAACTAAACTAAACTGAGCTAAACTAAGATGAGTTAAACTGAGCTAAGCTGCGCTAAGATGAGCTAAGATGAGCTAAGTTGAGCTAAGTTGAGCTAAGATGAGCTAAGATGATATAAACTAAACTAAACTAAACTGAGCTAAGCTGAGCTAAGCTAAATTGTCAGATAGCAACCGTCTAATTGGTAAAACCCCCAGGACCGGATCCTGTGGACTCAAAACAGCCTCTACTGAGTGTTTCCACCTCAGGATCTGCATTTGGTTTTAGGGCTGATGAGCCTAGCTGCTGGGACTCTTTTCTGTGGAGCTTTAAGTTTTTTTCAACCACTGTGCCTCGGTACACTAGTGTGTCGTAGAAAATCATCCTATTTCACCTCATTGGTCTAAAAAGATTTTTAAGAAGGAATTAATTATCTGCAAATAATATTCCATTTCTGAGTGTGTGTGCTGTTCTAGTGACTGGTGGAGTAATCATGTAATAATTCCTTATGACTAGATTTTGTATTTAATTTTGTATATTGAAGTGGACATGTTAAGAGCAATTTGTAAGAAGAAATATAAAATATGATAAAAAAACATTTTTGTGTTTATTTGATTCCTATTCAAGACACTTAAGATAAGATAAGAATAAAATAAGAATAACTATAGTGTTACTATAAGCGGCTACAGATATGTTTGACATTTTTGGTTGGTGGTGTGCCTCGAGATTTTTTCTATGGCTCAAAAAAGGTCGAAAAACACTGAACTAGAGTAAATCTGAGGCTTTGGGGTCTCCATACCGGGTATCCGTGCCGTAAAGGGGCTTCCTGGGATGTGTTTGTCGTCAAACTTGACGATGATGTTGTAGTCCCCCGGGGCCGTGGGCAGGTAGGACACCGTGCACGTCCCGTCTTTGTTGTCTTTACAGTTGATCTCGGCTTTGGACGGACCCTCGACGGCCAGAGACAAACCGCCTGAAAAGGCGGGAAAAAAGCATCAGCTGACCTTCAGATATGACCTTCAGATGGTTTAAGCTCCGCCTGGTTCCGGTTCTGTCTCCAGAAAAAGGGTTTTCATTTTAGAGGTAATTATGAGGCAAAGGATGAGGATGTAGAGGCTGTGGGCACTGGACTATAGATGCTACGACATGTTAGCAGCTAGCATGGGACAGATTAACCATGACGTTCTTCACCTCATCCTCAAAAAGCGCAAAAAATCAAAACAAGTTAAAGATTCAACATGAGGGAAATATGAAAAATGAGGAAAATATTGAAAACAAGTTGGAGATTCTAAATAAGTTAAAGGTTCAAAACGAGCTAAAGGTTCCCTGTTAGCAGTTCCAGTTCCCTGTTAGCGGTTCCCTGTTAACGGCTCTCTGTTAGCGGTTCCCTGTTAGCGGTTCCCTGTTAGCGGTTCTGGTTCCCTGTTGATCTCAGCTTTGGACGGACCCTCGACAGCCAGAGACAAACCGCCTAAAAAGGCGGGAAAAAAGCATCAGCTGACCTTCAGATATGACCTTCAGATGGTTTAAGCTCTCACTGGTTCCTGTTCTGTCTCCAGAAAAAGGGTTTTCATTTTAGGGGTAATAATAAGGGAAAGGATGGGGAAGAAG